AACGAACTGAATGATCACCTGATGGTAAGCAATCGGTGCCACCCATGGATACCCGGAACACCAGAGGCGTTACAAGTGTGTGCTCGGTCTTTTGGGGATTAGTAACTTGTGGATTGTTGGGCATTAAGTGATTGGGTATTTTGGGGGACGGGGGGACGGGGGGTAATCAGGCCTTCGGTAACCTCACTCACACGACGAAACAAAACGCAAGCCTGTCAGATCGTGGTACTCCGGTCGAGCCGGCCCATTCGTGGCGAAGTATGGCTCTCTCACACTCACAGGTATACACAAAATATGGAGTTATCTCGAGATTTTCTCGCCTGCGAGTTTCGCTTTCCTTGTCAATTAGGCTTGTCTCTCCAAAAGAGAGCAGGCAATAAATAAGTCATCGCAGTCAAGGCACGTATTAAGTGAAATTATTTTTGAAGCGACACAATCTTTGACAGCAGTTTTAAAGTAAACAGGATAAACATTTATTTAGAGCCACTACTACCTATGATGAAGAGGAAATGTAAACGTTATGAAAATCAAATATCTTACAATTTATTCAGTGCTCTTTTATTTCCCTTTGAACATATACAAATTGTGCTTCGCTGGAGACTGAAATGATAAAATGAACCGGGAACAAACTATTTCCGCTGTCTTCAAGAAGATAAAACAAGTGAAGTGAATAAAATGCGTTTCAGTGATTTTAATATTTATTATTGAAACACGATATCGGTAATAGAAAAGTCCATTTATTTACTGAACATGACTAAATCATCACAATCATTGTCTACTTTATAAAAACGAACAACCATACTCAAGTCGTTCTTAAATGTGCTTACAAGTCTTAGCAGCGCGGTGCATTGCTCTTCCGTACTTGAAGGCGTGCTTAATATCGGTCACATGATAAAGCGTGCTCACTTCCTCAAAGCCATGTATTAACGCACCGTTTGTTCGTTATGTAAGAGCGCGTGCTAAGCGCCGCGTCTCGCCGCACCATCGGCCGACCGGGCGACCGACGCGATACGGCACGTGGGACCCCACCTTTACAAGCACCCAGGGCCCACCGACCTAATACAATGGCTGCCATCGAACCGACACAACTTTAATAACAACCGCTTCAACCATTTATTTGGTTTACCTTCAAATATTTATTACCAGTGAATAAGTACCTCTAATTATTTATTATTGTTCTACTAACATTAGTATGCGTGATCAACAAGTCTACACTAATTTCCATACAGTTTTGGAATGTCTCAAAATAGTTATGAGTTCATTAGTTTATTACATTTGAGCTGTATCGGTCCAAAGAGCCCAAGTTCAGTACTTTGGAAAGTGCCTCTATATCTTGGGTAAGAGGTCCCAGCGTACAATATTGTCTGGACCCTTGATGTAAATGGAAAATTCTTGCTTCAAATAAATTAGGCATTTGGGAGCTCCAGTGGGGAGCTGTGAGGACCCTAGAGTGATGAGACTAAAGACAGTTTACGAGTTTTAAAGTAAAACAAGTTTTTTACGCTTACATTAGTAGGATGTCGCCTTTACAAATGTAAGAAACTTTTTAACGATATTGTTAAGGTTTAGGGCTCTCAACTACGATATTACCGCATTAAGGCCGGACTAGACACTAAAGCAGTAGGTATAATAAGCATGACGTATTTCATATTCTGATTAACTCAAGGGGAAGAAGGATGCAGGTTCTATAAATTGCCCATAATTTATGGATATAGGAAGATACTTGACTGCAACTTCACCTTCATTGCTTACTAATAAGCTTATTACAATTACAAAAGGGAGCCCCATAACCCGAGTTCCTTTGAAGGTGAGTTACAACTTCTATTTTTAGGACACCGAGAATCCTCAAAAACACTTTGTTAGCAAAAAATACTTACTTTTTATGTGAACCACAGCTTTACAATTATACGCCAACTGGAACCCTTGCGTGTGCTTATTCGGAGAAAAATGAAGAATCCTTTATTTTAACATTTACGAAAACAAAACAATATTTATTCAGAGGAACATCTTGAAAAGTTATCAAAGAAAACTTATTCTCCGTTAAAGTACTTATTATAGCAGCTGTTATTCAATAACCTACCTACGTAATGGGCTTAACAAACTAAGACCACCAATTTCACTTTCATAATACAACTTCGCGAACAAAATCTGTAGCCAACACTTGTTTTGTACTTGTTCGAACTGAAATTACACATAAAGAAAACATTTATTTAAGAAGTATTTCCCTTCAGAAAGAGGGTAGCTTCGAAATAGATGGAGAAAATTGCGATAACAAGGTTCTAATCCTACTAATCCCAGAGGAGTTTACGCGGGAAATAATGCTTTGTGGAACCGAATAAAATATGAAAAGCAATTCACAAAGAAAGAGTATCACAGTGTATGAAACTGAACTGAAAGTAGGTACTATTATTTTATGCATATTCGATTCACTGTAACACACGAGATGCTTCCACAAGGGATGACAGCAATAAAATTAAAAATGTAGATTTTATGAAGGTCAAGGTAATTAATGGTGTGTAAAACTTCCAAAGTCAACTTCTATAAGCAATCATTCATGTAAAATTCGCACGTGTTAAAATAATATCCAATTTATAACAAGCTCCAAGCCTTAAAATATTATGCATTCTATTTCACCATAAATTACCATAAGAAGGAAACACACATAAACAAAAGTCAACAGCTTTGTAAAACAATATTGCATCAGTCCATCTAGTTCTAGCCAATCGATGTATAGCATTAGCCACACAATTGTTCGCGAGGTCATAACAATAGTTTATGTAGCCACAGGATCGCTTGAACCATTATTTCCTTTAATAAATTACTGCTTTACACCTGCACGAGGTGTAAGGTTTCACATTCCTTCAATTTCCTGGTAAATACGTGGCGTTAAAGCAAACACAGGCATTTTAAGTTTTTAGCATTCCTCAGTTGTCCACACTCCACACTGTTTAATGGTACATATGTGCAGTAAAATAGCAATAGCTTGTAATATATGTACCCCCTTTATTAATTATGTCTGTGGTTTATTTAATTAAAACTATGTCTATTTACGTACAATATTTTGATTTCGTTTCTAATTGAATTAGACGTATGTATGTATATTAAACTGTCAAACACCAAGTGGTCACCGGTGACCGCAACCTATTGTTCTATAATTGTGTCTACAAAACCGGTACTCGACGAGTTAATCAAAAATGACAATAAAAAAAAATCTCAACCCTACATTAAATTGAGTGCATCGTTCCTCTTAGACACATGACCGAGCTCTACACTTACTAAGTTAGTTAAGCTATTAGAAGTGAAATTGTAAGGTGATCAGATTTTATATTTTCCAGTAAATATGAAATAGCGTCACGTAGTGTATAAGCTTCGGATAGCAGTCGATCTATCGAGGCGTGGCGGATTTACGCTGCCAGCGATAAATGATCGCTTCTACTTGCTGAATGGCAAGGTTACACGACACCACTTACGAGATCGCATATCGCAATTTTGAGCTTCCTTGGGAATATGTTTGCGTTAAAATGAGTTAAACTGGATTTAAATCAGCGGCAACCGGTTCAGTTGAGCGCAATTTGAACGTAATGTCTGTATTTAAGCGTTGGTCATATCGCGCTTCCTGAATTGTAGTAATATTACTCGCTGTACCTAATACTTTATATTGTATGTTATACTTCCGTGTATAGAGCAGAAGCTTTGCGAAGGGGTGACAGATCATATAATTACGCTGAAACGTCCACTTTTTTCTACTCGATAATACATAGTTCGATCCTTAGACACTGTGCGACAATCACACTTGCGTCCTATCGACATAATTTTATTAATCGACGTTTAAAAAAAGGGAATAACTCCTTTTGACTCACCATTCTCTTTATTTCATGATCAACAGCTTATAAATGCCCACTGCTGAGCTAAGCCTCTTCTCACTTGGAGAAGGTTAGAGCATTAATCACCACGCTTGCTCAATGCGGATTGGCAAACTTATAATTAGAAATTTCTTTTTTTATTGTAAAATAAAACCTTCACAATGCGAAACCTCTAATGAATTTAGACGAATTTAAAATTAAATGAATTATTTATTTTATGAAGGATGTCAAACGATTTGTCAAATCGGTTTTATCTTATGCATTGATAATGCTTGGTCGCCAAATTGTCAGCTTTTCGATCGAACTAAATCCAAAATTGTTTGCTCCATTAGTTGTGCCACATACTCAAACTCATGCGGCTAATTGTCCGGTTAGCAAATCAGGAAGATGTCCTGGAACTGGTGACGTAAAACAGGGTGAGACAAAAACTGTACCAATGAAACATGGACCAGTCACCATGTGCAACTCATCTGGAGATGACGGTTCACCTGGAACTGGACAAAAAAGAGCCATAAGGCCAGGAAAAGTTCGCTTAGGTTTCATTCCAGAAGAATGGTTTGGTTTCCTAAAACCAATGACTGGCGTCACGGGGCCCTATTTTTTAATGATAGGTCTTGCAAATTATTTAGTCAGCAAAGAAATCTTCGTAATGGAACACGAATATTATATGGGTATTTCTCAATTCATAATGGTATATTTTGCCGTCACCAAATTTGGACCACAGCTTGCTGTCTATCTTGATAAAGAAGTCGATGATTTCACCAATGATTTAGAAAAAACTAGAACAGATGAGCTCAATTTTCATAAGAATATTATAAAAGATTCAGAAACTGCAATCTGGAGAGCAATGGGACAAAAAGACTTGATGCAGGCTAAGAAAGAAAATATTGCAGTGCAATTAGAAGCTATTTATAGGGAAAGAGCAATGATGGTATACCAACGCGTCCGTGGCCGTTTGGATTATCACGTTAGAAAACAACGTACTGTAAATCGTGTAAAACAAAAGTGGATGGTGCAATGGATTTTAAATAACGTTGAAAAAGCAATCGATGCAGATTTTAAAAAACGAGCGATGGAAAGTGCTCTACGTCAGTTGACAGCTTTAGCAGAACAGATGCCTCATAAATAATTTCGTGAAATAATTGGAGAATACATTGGTTTTTTATAGACTTAGCCATTTTTAATAAACAAAGGTTTTACGTGCCATAGAAATTAATTATTTTACGAGTTAGCACTGTGTTATTAAAATTTTACGAGTTGCCTGCCATATCAGTGTGCAGATTGCTAGCATATCACTATTGTAGTTACATACGACAGCGGACAAATCATGTTTTCAAAATCGATTTATATTTATATTCGAATTCTTTTTGTTTCCTTCGATTTACCGATACTTCTCGCTCAATCAGAAGGATCGCGTGAGTTTTCTATTTAGTTAATGTTCATTATATTGTTTTATACTGTAGAATTGGAGTTGATATTGATATTATGTTTTTCGAAATAAAAATATTTTATTGACCTTTTATTGCTATATAGTTTGTTATTGTATCCGTGTCTATTCGTTATTTTTAGATGAACTATTTAAAACTGATTGGCACATTCGCTGTAAACTACAGCCCAATGGTTACGACTGTACTAGGAATGAATCAATGACCCATAGGTAAGAACTACTCATTATAATATTACTCTTTGATAAAAACAACTTAAATAAAATACGATTTGTATTAAGTTCAACAATATAAAAATTTGCTGGTATTCGCATTGTTTTGAATTTGTTCTGTGTTTGGCTGAAAATAATATTTACTAACTTTCATTTCATAGAATTTGAATATTACTAAACGTTCAGACGTTCTTCGATCTTCAAATAAACACTAGGCAATGAGTTCAGAAATTCATGAACAATATGATTATGCGTTTGTATTTTTGGTTTTATTGTTTGCATTTTGTTAATTTTTAGGATTCGATTGTAATTTAATAATTCATTGCCATTTAAGGTTTTATTACGACCTGAAAATGAATGCTTGCAAAACATTCCAGTATGGCCTTTGTGAATTGCAATTCAACGGTTTTCATACACTTCGAGAATGTTCCTCTACATGTGACGGTGAGTTTAATACTTATAATATTTTAACATTATAAAAACGAACTTCTGAAACTTACAATAGCTTAGAAGCTATTAGCTAGCTTAAGAAGGCTCACTTCCTATTACATGGGACTCGTAACATAAATAGTGAAAAGTGGGTGTTACATTGCACAGTGGCATAATGTGCACCTCTGCCTACCCCTTCGGGATACAAGGCGTGATGTTATTTTACTTCTTAAGCAAGTATTTGCTACTTTTGAGAGCAAGGCAGTTGGCTGGTCAACGCATGTTGATATGAAGAGACTAACGACAATATTGCTTTCAGTCGCAATTTTGTTTTGAAACTCTTTTACCCAAGTGATCTTTATTTGATTACGACATATCTATTTGGTCAATTCCTCCCTTTTTTTCTTTCGTCAATATACAAGTACCTCGATAAATATATCCCGCTTGTGCCGTAACTAACAAATATTAGGTATTTATTATAATTATCTGTTTTAATTTCATTGTTGATTTTCCTATAGTAATTGGACACCAATTTCTCACCGAAGAAGAACAGGCAAAATTTTCTGACGACACAATATGTCGCTTGCAATATGACTTTGGATCTTGCAACAATTACTATCCAATGTAAGTTTGAGCACCATTTAGATACCTATTTTAAGTTCAAATTATCGAAAGCATAAAGGCCAATCACAACACAACACATGAAACGAGAAAATTCTAGTGTAGTGGCGCCAGCTACAATTCTTTCTCTGTGTCAACGGGATTCGTGCGTTTAAAAAAATATGATATTTCTTCCATAGAATACCATTTTATGAGATTTATTTTTACTTTTTCTGATGACGAAGGGATTAAGGGGCATTTGTGTTTGTGTTTTTACCCACAACGTCGTACTTTATTGTATGTTTATCTACAGGTGGTACTTCGATGTGACTGAGCGTACTTGCAAGAGCTTCTCTTACAGTGGCTGTGGAGGCAACAATAATAGATTTGCAACACCCGGGATGTGCAACACTAGATGTCAAACTGCTGTCGGCGATTATAAAATAGCAAAAACTATAAAGAAAAGTCGATAGACTAAACAAAACTTACTAACTAGGTAAAAGTAAATGTATTAAAGTTAGGTAAATCTGTACAATTATAAACTATTGTTAGAAATACCTACTGGCTACGTAATAAGCTTTTCTTGTGTAAATAAACTTAAACTTATTGATTAGCAATATGCAGTTCAGCGGAAGGAGGCGATGATTTGTTAACTAAGAAAATTATAATGCGCTACGTATCGATCAGTTTAGTAATGATTTCTTATCTTTAAAGAAAAACTTAAAGAAAAGGAAAGCATTTCTACGAAAAGCGAGAGAATTATCAATTGCGGTTTTGCGGTTAACAATGATTGACCTCAAAAAGCCGCTTGGCCGGTCTTCATTGCACCGAGGGCCGAGTCACGATTCAATGAAAGTATTTTATTATTTAAACCCCTATGGCGTCATTGCCATAACCTATAGATAACTTGTCCAACACCAATAACTAAATACTCGTTTCTCGACCAGTGTTAAACTGTCAAACACCAAGCGGTCACCGGTGACCGCAACCTATTGTTCTATAATTGTGTCTACAAAACCGGTACTCGACGACTTAAATTAAAATAAATTATTTTATTGCTAAAAATATTTAGGTAAGTAGGTACCTACTCAAAAAGACAAAAAGATTTCTAATGTTTTTTTTTTAATTCAATCGAATGAAAATAGTAATGACCAATTCTCGATTTAATTCTAAAGAGAAATTGAGGATAAACAATTAACATCTCCGACATTTTTCCATGTCATAAATCATTGGATAAAATGGAAATAAAAATAACCGCCACTTTATTAAATAAATGCTTGTCGCTGTCATCTGTTGGTGTCATTAAATCCCGTTAGGGTCAGAGTCCACAACTGAAGGGAGGGCTGAACGCAGGACAGAGGCTTGGAGGATTGAGAGCAAGGTCGTTGTAACGCGCGAGGTGCTGGCGCAAGCGGCACCCGCTCAGCTGCGGCTCGCGGCTGCACGCCAGCTTCCTACAATAATTACATTGGGCCATCGCCCTCAATTAGAGACGCTCACGTTCGAATGACTAGCTCCGAGCGGTCCGGCGAACCGACTGAGTTCGCTTGCACCCCGTCGCTTAATGCTAGTGCGTGCACGTGTACTCACAAAACCGGTTCGGCCAGCGGGCGGACCCAGTCGGAATCTTGAGAGGCGCATTCGGACCTAATAAGTATGTGGACTTGCCTCTGATGACTAAGCATGCTGTTATATCCGATTTAATGCAGCCGCATATTCCAGGCTCGGCATTTTTCATTGAAGAAAAGATAAAAAGCAGTCGACGCCCCTTACAAGTGCAGGCGCAGTCATACCTCTACTTTAAAGTAGTAACAGAAAATAGGCAAAAATAAGAATCTCTCAAGTTGAACTTGAGAGATTCTTATTTTTGTATGTTTGAAAACAAAAGTAAGTAGGTACATGACCGCGATATCTTTACGTTCACTACAACTATATATAACGTTATGGGTTTGTTCGGTGGTGTTATGGGTTTAATTAAGGGTACTTAATATGACTTTATCAGGACCATTAAATACATACGACAAATCAATCAACTATGAGGTTCTCTGTCACTCTGATAGATCAATGCAACAATTTGAGGATTCAACTATCGACGACATGATAAAATAGTTTCCTGGTAGGATACCTAATAATGATGTTAGATCGATATTAACAAAAGATTAGTTAATTATTTACGCAGACAAGAAAGCAGTAACTACTGATTGAGTCACTAAATGAAGATCTCTGTATGTTAATGAAAGATGAGTTGACCGCAATTATACACGTTTTCATGAGTCAGAAGTACTAAGTAATCGGGTTAGTGGTAATCTGGGGGCGAGAAAAAAGCCTGACATAGCGACTACCCCGAAATAAATTAAATTAATGCGGCCTCTTTCCATTTGTCGCTAAGCCGGCCTGGTAATCTTACAAGAATTTCCACGTATAAATCTTAACAGTTGAGTCTTCATGTAATTAAGCACTTTATTATAGTGAGTGAGTTCTATCTATCTACTATACTATTATTTATAACCTCTGTGTTCTAGTGATCTAGCAAGCCTAAGTACAACTGTCTTGCCTGGCCTTGTGTTTGGTTTTGAGTCAGATAAAAATATTTTCGACATTCTTAGTAGTAATGCGAAATTTGTTATTAATAATAATGTTTATTACTTTTAATCAATAACTAATGACAAGTAATGCAAAAGTACGTTTGATAAATTACGACTATACTCTTCGATTTTATTTACGCGAATCCAGGCAAACGTTTGTATCATGTTCATTCAAGAAATTCCCAAAACCCGTCCAACGATGCATTATACGCAGCTGAGATACAAACAGATAAAATTCCAAAGTCAAATCACACACCAGAATACAGGCAAATCTTTTTTCTGTTGATATTTGTATAAAAAACGTTATTTCGAATTAAAATGAGCGACAGGTGACTAAAACCGCATTCGTATACCGTTATAGTAATCAGTTTTGTGCAGCTCAAACCCTTGAGAAAACTACCTGCGAAGCAAAGGCAATTATACCCAACTGATGTAACTCTGATATCACAATTTATTACCAGACCTCTAATAACCATGTTTACCTTAAGGTAAACCTCAGGTTAACCTGCGAACGTGTTATCGTTTCATTGAAACAACAGTTACGTGTTTATTTTAGCATAACTAACAACATATATTATAATTAGGGCATGTATACTCTGTTGCTGCCGCAATTACATGTGTAATACTCAATAGTCGAAATAAAGTCAGAAAATGCTCATATTAAAAAATATTTATTAAAGCTTTTTATGAAACTTGTTGATAAGAACTTGCAGTAAGATATCAGAAGAAACTCGACAAACTTGTGATACGTCGTCACGAGCTAATAGCACAGGCAATTAAGCAAATAAGTGCACACAACAAGTCTTCAAGTTTTAAAGTAAATTGTGAGATAACAATAAACTTGTTGTATGTAATAACAGTAAGAACACATATACAATATTGTTGTTAGCAGTCACTAAGTTCCAAGTAGCTAAACAGTGTCTCTTTTAGCGAATGGCTAAATTAAGGATTCTGTTTGACTATACTTTATTAAACTAGGTAATTGAACCTAAGAACCAGAAAGTGGTTACTTTCTACTAGTACAATAGCATGCACAAAATGGCCCTGCAAGATATAATAAAAATAAAAATTCAAATAAAAAGTTTGGTTACTAGAATATTTAAATAACAATCAGTACTACTCAATACTCAAAAGTTCCATAATGTGGTCCTAAAGTCTCCCTTTACCATCAGCGTTTTTTGGGGAGATAAAAGCTGGTACGAGAATCATGGGGGACATCCCACGCCCATCCCATCAGGGGTCAATATAGTAAGTGTAGTGACGTGCAGTTGTCGTAACTGATCAGTAGCCGTGACGTTGACAGCGATAACTGTTGGTTGATAGCTGCTATGATTAGTCCTTAACTACTTCCCCAAACTATTATATGAAGTTTATATAAAAAGAAAATTTTTCAAACAAATTTTTGTAGTACTGCTGCTGTAGGAAGTGTTGTACTAAATCACAAGCTAATTGTAGCTATAGTTTCACATTAAAAATTTATCTGGGAAAGTGGATTGAAACCAAATAGGTAGTTAGAATTATTCATAAAACCATAGAATTGTTTAACCGTTTTTTATTTGGTGGGCGTCACTATAACTAGTGGCGCCAGTTAACAGACAGTTTGGACAACAACTGCGTCCACCAGTAGCAAAGTGTCCGCGCTGACTTATAGAGCGCCCCCCGTAATGTTCGTGCCTCGGGAGTTCGCTCCAAACTTGACGAGTTGGTTCAATTGACAATGGTCCAATTGGAGATGAAGATAAAGCTCGCAACCAAATTGAGGTCAGAGTTATTGGCTGAATGTGACCTCGTCAAAGTTTCAAAAGCCATTTGGTCGATGAATCTGCATCCTCTTGCACAAAACTCAACATTATGTAGAAATATATTATTCTTTAAACTAATCGTCTACAGGTAAACTAGTTCTAGAAATATTTAAAAGGTTTGATATTCCCTAATTATATTTCATTACCTTTTTTGTATCTGAACTTCTGAAGGTAGTCATTCATTCATTCAAATCATAAATATTCAAAGATCGAAATAAAACAATGTTGATTCTGGAGTTGATAACATTTTAGTTAAAAGCTTATTCTCTGATTCTAAGAAATATTCAATGTTTTATAAGATTAGCGCATAATTTCTTAGTATTTACAATTATATTTTCACAATTTATATAACACATTTAACATAAAGTAATTCTTCATTAAATTTACATAATTATAAAGAACGACCTCGCCACTAGCACTTGATATAACAAAAATTGCGCATTAAAACTTGCCTAGATTTGTTTCGGAATTCCATAAAATATTAATATCTTCTTCTAGAAACAGTGTAAAGCAACACTGGTTTGTCTACGTAGAGCAGAAAATTAGACGTGTAACATCAACATAATTCTGAGAAAGTAATGTTAATGCAACATAACATTTTAATATTTGAACAACTCATGATTTAAGTGTATTCCAAACACAGCATAATAAATGTTGATGGCTTCTGAATATGTCCATTTCCTAAGTGGTACCTTGAAAGTTTAAATTAATTCACACAGTGGGTGAAATGAAGTATTTATTATTCACATAGATAAGATTAGTAACATAATTAGACAAATGCAGTGAAGAGTAAATCTAATTAACGCTGCGCTAGCACTCTGTCCATTACACCTTTGCTTTTAAACTCGAAATCAGATTTGCCGTAGCGAGCTTATCACAAAATAACCCTTCACCAACCCACCTCTACCTAACCTGATTACGTAGAGATGAGAATTTTAGATGTAACCGGGCAACACAGAGGAGCTATTCTAAGTGAGTAAATTCTAAAATCTAAAGAACTCTTTGCTCAACCCAGGAATGGGAATCAAATCTGCCGGCGACTATTCAACCGCCGAAACAGTTTAAGACAAGATTCAAGTTTCGTAATTAGAATTTTCATCTTAAATGTCCCGAAATTCTTCACATTCAAACCAAACCGAGTTCACCGTAACGTTTCAATTCAAATAATTAATTGTTAACGGGAGTCTTCCTTCCTCTCCCTGGATTCTTAATTGAATGGATTCTTATTCCGAACGATTTCTCATTGGAATTATTGTATAACCACTCGAAGAAACTAACTGGGTTTATGTCCCTAATTTACTATAACGACCTATAATTGTACCTGTTTAGAAATGGTTATCATTTGTTTTTATTCTCTCATATTAATATTTTTGGTCTGATAAATTCTAACTTAAGGTATTTTCTATATAATATACCATGTACCCTATCCATTCAACGCCCGTATATAATATCATATTATAAGCGTAACAGTGAACTGAAGAATTTTAGACATAAGTTCATTCATGTTCTACTTGGCGGCATTAAAGCCTTCACTGCTTTTGAGCATTGCTTCAACCATTGAAATTCTAAAATGACAGCTAATAGTCGCGAATATTTCAACCGAATAACGTATTAATTTCAGAAAATAGAGAG